TAGTGCTGTTTTACGATCGTGGTGTTCTTTATTTTTAGCCACCTTGTGTGGTGGAAGGGGCTGTGGGGGTGCTGGTCGAACCCTTGGCTCCGGGGATGACGCCACTATACCCGTTTCACCGGTACTCATTGGTGTGACGTTCAAGACGTTGATACCCGGGTTGATACCCAACTTTTGATCGGTGGTGGCGATGACTATTTCGTTGTTGTAACCCACCACTTTATGGATTCTCAGTTGCATTTCGTTCGGGGCCATGTACGGTCCCACTCCGAACACGTAGTCGACTTTCGACCGTGCATATTCCAACACGTTTTGGTAGCGTTGGATAGCACTCGGTAGATCAACTGGATCATTGATAGCATCCTCAATGTTTGACACGAATTGTTTCTGCGCGTCATAAGCCGTCCCTTTACACATGATGTCGGAACGCGTTTTCGTCTGCGCTCCCAGCAGCGCCCACACATACATTCGAATCGAGTCGTTCAAGCATTCGGTGCCGGCACGAGTGAACCCTCTCGATGTGCCCAGCATGAACATTTTCCAATCGTCCACGGAGTCTTTGGGCTGCTCCACTTTCTGGACAGTGAAAGCAACCCCACCTTTAAAGTTCATACGATCATCTCGCCATTCATTTCTCGACAAAGCAAAGTCCTGACGTAGTAAATCTCGTTTTAGTAGATCATCACTTACTTCTTTCACGGATCGCACCCCATCGTATTGAATACCCAACCTGTGGTTCGGCCCCGGCAAACGCCAAATCCGTCTTCAGGTCGAGTTCGAATTCGTTGCAAACGCGTTCGTATGCCCGTCGGTCGTACGGATTGTTTACCGCATCCCATGCTTTGTCCTGTGGGAGCGGAGCGCTGATCTCTTTGAGGATACGCCTGACTTGGTACTACACGTGGAGCGTGAACACAGACCGACCCAGCAGGCCACGCAGAGTGTCGCTCAACGTCACACCGCACCCCGTTGTAGCGCACCACACGACAAAATTGAATTGATTCTGCCAGAACTGCATCGGGTTGTTAAACCAAGCGTGTACCGTCTTAAGGTACTGAAAACTTGTAATTTTTAAACACATCGATAAATGGTGCTTTGAAATGCAACCCATCTGCAACCACGATCTTCATGTGTGTGAAATCGGAAGTATTGCTTTTACAATAAAACACTCCCGGTTTGTACATGTTGAATTGTTATATAATATATACTATATACTTCCAATATGTACGTGACGCTTCTGGGAATAACGAGCGATGAGGCCGTTCAACTGCTGCACGTGATTGATAACACGTCCGGCCAACTCGAAGTCGCACTCTGCGATGTCACCTACTACCCGCAATGGACCAACATCAACAGCAAAAACAACAGGCTGTTTGTCAATAACGCCCGCAACCAAATAACTGACGGCTACTACAGCGTGTGCTCGCTCAACGAAGAAATCTCCAAACTCGTGGGAGCCGAACTCAAAATGAACGACTCGAACGGCACAGTCATGTTAGCCAACAATGGGGGAAAACGACTTGAGACTCAGTAAGCCATTGACTTAAACGCTTGGGTTTACTTCGAACGACATTCTGCCAAAAAACACTGTGACCGGCACAAAACTACCAGATCTTGTTCCGTACCGTGAACTGTCCATTCATCTCGATCAGCTGAGCACGACTGGCAACGTTCAAGGTGAACGCCCTTCCACGCGGTTGAGAGTCGTACCCGTGACAACGGAAAAGTATAACGATGGCAAAACCAATTCGTTTTCGTCAAGGCAGTACAAGAAATTAACCCAAGGCACCATCTCGGAAACAAAAGTATCTGTTTTAGATATAAAACATAATCATGTGAATATAGGATACCTCAGCTTGACGCTGCACATATGATAATAACTAGCGCCCAAGGTCCCGGAATACGATTGAAAAAATGCGTTAATATAGCGGTCTCCGACCTCGGGGACACGCGCGGAATCGACGAACCAGGAATAGACGGTAAACTGTATGCCTTGCAACTGAAAAACAATATTTACAAACGCGTTGAAGTCCCCACCGTCGGCGGCGGCAGTAACTTAGACGATATCGTCGATACATCAAGAGCTGTCAGCAACACTCGGTACGACCTAGTCCACAATGACGAGGATGAATGGATGATATACCCACCGTTCGGCGGCGGCAAGCTGTTCGACTTAAACGACGTCGAGACCACGGTCGTCGTTCAAAAGAAGCAGTATGCCCTCATCTTCACCGACGACAACAAATGGGTTTTGACACAATCTCGAGTCGACTGGTTTCTCAACATCACGCTCGGCTCTAAGACCACTACCTAAACAAAAACGTGAACAACGGAACCCTGCTCGTGGCTTACGTCCCGACGCATAGGGGCAGTGTAATCATCAGTCCACTCTCGAGTATGGCAGCCCACATGCTATCGAGTACGGTAAACCCGGGGAGCAAAACGTGGGGTTGCAGGTGGTGTCTGATTCCACGCAGGTCTTCCAAGCCTACCACGGTGAACCATCATCACCAGTCGAAATCGTGAAAGGAATCAAAATCCGGTGGACCAAACAACAACAATACAACGTTTGCTCTGTTTACGTGCGGGTGAACGTCGATTCCCACACCAGTCTGCAGTGAGTCACTGTTACCGTGGATGACACGATATCACTCACCAAAATTTTCCTACCCGACAACATACATCTCATGGGGTTGAAGTGCACACCTGAGAAATTATCAGACAAACAATTGGAAACTATTTTATAACATTTTTACAAAGACGATGAACAATCATCAACCCAGGTCACGCTCGGTGATCTAGGGGACACGGAGGGATTCGATCTGCCTGGGGAGGAAAACACCTTGTACATCCTACACTTGAAAGACAACGTGTACGAGCGGGTGCCGCTAGCAGACTTTAAAGAGCCCGAATCAACATAACCCTCTCCGCACCTTACATCTCTTTAAACGAATATAGGCATGTATCCGAAATTAAGAACAATGGTGCCCTTCTTGCGTCTTTCATTCCGGATTCTGATTATGTAAGAGTTCTCCAAACACCAATTGGCACGAGAAACATATTATTTTCACCCGCGTCTTCAAAATTAAGGGTCGACTTACCCGATTACGAATTGTGTTATATAACTATGAAACCAGACGCCACACTCTTCATAGAAGTCTTTCTCAGAGCCCCTGAAGAGGGTTCAGGCCGACAACTTTTACCTGGGTTGACAATACATTGGGATGCCATGCAAACAGCCGCACGTTGTCCTATCGTCATACAACTGGGATCAGAACCCTTACTGAGATTTACACCACCCTCAACACCCCTCCATGGGTTTCGTATCGTCCAAGATTTACCTATTAAAATCTCACCTATTTTCCTCTACGATAATCTCAACTTATAAGGCTCAAATACATTAATAAGAAATTAACGAAAAACCAATTGAATTTTATCTTATAACATATAATGCACTAACACAGGATGGGGCTGTACCAAGTCATAGAAGAAGTAGCAAAAACAATGGAAACTGTAGAAGGGTTTCGTTTGAGACAGCTATGCGACATAAAACGTCAACTAGAACAAGATCAAGACATACGGACAGCATTATGTAAGAAATACCATAAAGCTTTCAATTTCGTGGATGGGGCTGATACCACCCTTATGGCAACCAGCATGGGATTAGGAGCAGATGGTGTCGGTTTGTTGACCACCATCATAGCCGCGCCCTGTGGCTAGGTATTGAAATAACAGCTGGGGTGTCAGGGTTGGTGGGGTTGGTGTTTAAGTTTGCATCCCGCAGATCGTAAAGCATTGAAACAGGACGAAATTAGGATTCTAGCCAAAGCAAAGTTAAACACAATAGACGACCGTATTTCCACTACACTCACTGACAGTAAAATCTCAGAGGAAGAATTTCGTTTGGTCCTCTCTGAACTCGCAAAATATCACAGAATGAAACAAGATATTCGGTCCAAGTCTCGTAAAAGCACTGCCATCAGTGAAGACGAGAAAAAAAAGTACATAGAACAAGGGATACAACAAGCCCAACAAGCTTTCATTATGAAAACCAAAGAAATCATAGGAGATTCACATAAAATTGTTTCGCGGAGATCAACATTATATAGGTTGATCACAACAGTGTCACGTGACCAGGGAAGTGTTGGTTTGCGGTCATAGTGACCAGGAAGTTGGCTGGGGATTCAAAAGTGGTATGCACACTAGCGGAGAGAGATAAGGGCATGAAAAACAGAGTATTTTGTTGGAAGTGATCTCGTACCCCTGTTGTGTATACTACTGGTCACATTGTACGGGTGGGTATCAACACGATATGAATACTGCCAACTGTCTAGCATTAGGCAGTGAGAGATGTGGAGGCCCAATGTGAATTTATCCATCACGAATTGCTGTCTACTTGCCTGGAAAAATAAAATCACAAGCAAGACAAGACTATTGAGATAACCACAACATGACAGTAACCGAAATGTATCACAGTGACCTGAAATCAGAATACCACTGCGCTTGGTGTCTCCAGCCAATGCTTGGGGTTTAGTCTCAGTTTTCATAACTTCCAGACAATTTTCCCCTTGCCAACTGATTAATCAGTTCTTTTCAAAACAAACCAAATTGCTGCTGCTACAACTACTACTACTCTTACATTCCCGTGAAAATCCGGGTTAGAATTGATTTTCAGTTAGCCATGCTTGTCGTGAGAGGCGACTAACAGGATCGGGTGGTCAGGCTAGCTGACTTGGTTGACACATGTCATCGTTTCCCAGTTGCATAGATCGATGCTCATGATGTTGATCACTGGATTGTCTGGTCCAAACTCTGGTTATTTACAGACAGTCGCCATATAGCTGGAATATTGCTGAGTGTGGCGTAAAACTAAACTCACTCACTACTCATACAACTACCACTACTTCTACTACTCTGCTCTGAACGCTCACTCAATCCCTCACCAGTTGTACTGCGTCCTTCCATATTAGATATTAACGAGAAGATTGACACCCAAGTACCTGTCATTCTACCAGGTATCTAATCGCTGTTGTGTGAGCATGTACATATTCCGAACTTGTCACTTGTTTAAGAGGACAGCGCACAGTACGATTCCATATCCAACAGCTTACCGCGACCTCAGTTGTTAAATGTCGACTGATAGATGACTTTTGTGCTGTACACAGCATCACCTGTCTCCACAAACTCTATGCTGGTAATAGTCATCAAAGTATTCAACTGAAACCTTATCTGTGTGGAATGCATTCAGGTTGTCAACGAGGAAGTAGTGGGGCGTTTGTGAAAGCCAGCTTGTCGTCATACTCTGTGACACTGACGCTTGACTAATCATTCACAACGACACAATAATCCGTATTGTGCTTCTTTGTTACTACTTTAGTACACGACCATATTTCATGGTAACTGTAAGTACTGCACTAACTAATACTGACAGAGACTTAATGTTACACGATATATGTCTGGACAACGCCTGTGCATATAAGCCACTTCTAGACTTTATCTGTTGGACCATGGTCACACGGAGAGGTCTATTGGATGGTATTAACACCAAAGTCAATTAAAACCTGCCGCGCAAATGCATCTACAGCGCATGCATGTGTGATAACTGACACAACCTCAAACTGAAACATTTGTCAATATTTTCGTCGTAATTGAGGATTTGGCACGGGACGTTTGGAGGTGTGTTCATATTCATTTAACAGGTGGAATTTGTATCACTTACACTTTGTTACTGCATCTACATACAAAGTTAGGGTTTTGATGTACGTGTATCTCCACATAATAATTGAGCCCTGAGAATTCCTTCTTTAGTCATCGTTGTGTGTTTGTGAAGAACGTCAGATAACTCGAGGTATTTACACAGTTCTCTTCAGCTTCGACACTATGGTGTTTGACTGCAGATCACTATATCAGGGACCATGTCGTCTAAGGTGTCGAATAGGATTGTGCAGATTTGCGCCAATATGGCATATGACAATGGTTATCTTTGATCGTGGTTTGCAATCCGAAATTTGCCTGAAATATACCTGGGTATAGCCAATGTGGTAAAAATTTAGGGTCTGCAACACTTCGGACTTCACTCCCCCATTAAGCAGACCCGAAGTGATGTGACCCGAAGTGTCTTTAATACAGATTGTTTCTGATGCAAGTGAGAACTTTAATGTGAAATGAAATACAGCATCGCTTCACAATAGGCAGCCGATGTACATATAGAAACTGAATGAGTGAGTTCGTGAGTTAATATCTAACGTCACATCGGCAATATCTCAGCCATATCGTGACGAAAACAATTTATACAATGAAAAATGAAAACATTTGGAGAGTAAAACCTGTCGACGATGGACAGTAAAAATACTAGAATATCACATATATGAACATAATACTAACATGTCAAACTAAAAGATTTTAATTAAAGAAGACAATACAATATAGAACACGGCTATAGATCGCCAACAACTGAAGGTAGATCACCATACTAGGAACCATAGGGACTTACATTACTTTTGTTTCCTGCATAGACCCTAGCTAGATTTACACTATCCCTTCAGCCGCCGGCGATGTATGAAGATTTAGCCGAATATCAAAATAACAGAAATACTACATGACACACTACATGGACATACCAGGTATGGACACACCAGTTGCTAAGTGGGAATACAGAGTCTCTGCTCGTCAAAGGACGAACATGTAAATGTAAAGAAGAAAGGCCATACAGATACAACTGTAGAGATAATATTTGGCTTGGCATTACATATTGCAGGAGCAGTTTTCATAACATAGCGACAATAACGATCTGAGTAATTTACACATTAAAATGTAAACATATATCTGTTATTCTTATGCATAGCTATGGATAGTTCTATGGATCTAAAGATAAGGCATGATAAGATATGGAAAATTATGTGCCGGGGTATTGAGTAATTCGTGTTTGTGCGTTGTTGAACAAAACGACAGGTATGTAACAGCGTGGTATGTAATATATCGACGAGTACAGTTTATAATCATATTAAAGATCAATAAAGTTAGAAATTAAAAACCTGTTGACGAAGAACAGTAAAACTACTAGTGTATCACATATATCTATTTAAAACTAGCAATTAAATCTAAAATATTTGAGTGAGTGAGTGACAATACAATATAAAAAACAGGCTATAGATTGCCAACGACTGAAGGTAGATCACCATACAGGGGACGGCCACTCTCAGAGCCAACACTTTCAGGTTAGTATGCATCAGGTGCAGGTTTATTGTCATCATAATCGTCGTCGTCGCAGTTGTCGTCATCATTAGAGTCACCGTCTGAAGGTGTGGCCGCATCACTCACCAATTCCGTATCTGAAGTGATCTAGCTACATCACTGGGATGGCTATAAGACGATTTCCAATTGAAAGATATCTGTCTTGGCTGTGTTGCATTTACAAATTCGCGACTGATGAAATGGATTAAAAAGATAAATCACATGTTTTGGTAATCTGGGGTAGCTGCTGACCCATGTGCAGTATCCTCTTGAGATGATGAGGTGAGTTCGATACTGGTATAATTGTTGACATCACCTCCAGCTGACAGGCCAGAGTAAGTGGGGTGTTCAACAGACGCTGGCCTGTCTCCTTGTTTCTTCGGAGTCAGATCGTACCGACGCCTGAAAGGACAGATAACGTGTCATGTGAATTGCCTTAATTAAGCAAATATCCTATTGCGATTTAAATCGATGGTAAATACGTTAACCCATTCTTGTTGTTTCTCTGTTGTTATTTGCTTGGATGGATTTGCAAAAGTATAGTCATTCACACACATCCCAAATGAGATAGACGTTATGATGGACATCTTTGAAATATATTGGTCGCTAGAAAATCCGGAAGAGTGAACGTGCTTTCCAATATACCTGATAACGAGGACATACACTGCAAGATTGACCAGGATGACAATTACTGCTCCGGCAGCCACCCCTCCCATAAACACACCAGCTGAAACAGAAAACAGCCACTGTGTGTTGAGCAGAGATCAATTAGAGTATTCATTACTGACATTTCATAAAACTAACATTTAGCACAGTCCAAAACAAGACATACACAACTTGATCTACAGAACAATCTTCAATTGTGTACATAGCTAAAACAAGTTGAGGTTTGAAAACGCACATGTTATATTTTCAGTTTAATACATTAAGCTATCTTCACGAAAGCAACTTATTAACATTAGAATGTAGTCATCTGTCTGAAATATCAAACCACTGTGTAAAGGTTCCCATACAGTGAATAATGCATACGTGGGAATCGTGAAGAGGTGGGCATGGGAATTTCGTCCTTATATGGCCGAGTTGTGATGTCCCCTGTGGAAAAACGTTTATTTCTATTGAAACAGTAATCAATATACAAATATAAAGCATGTATCATGCAATTGTAACTGATGAACAAGTCAATGTAAATAGTAGTAGTATATACAGTAGCGGTACGAGATCAAGTCCAACCAGAGACTCTGTAAAGCTTCATTTATGAAATAAAGCTTTTGTCAGGCCCTTATCTCTCTCCGCTATTGTATATATACCAGGTTTGAACCCCCAGTTAACTTCCTGGTCACTATGACCGCAAACCAACACTTTCCTGATCACGTGACACTATGATAGCTCTATGTCGTGTTGACCTCGAGGAAACAGTTTAATGTGACAGGATACTATTGGGTTCACTCGACAAGGTAAGTGTGAAATATTTTGCTTGGGGGGTAACATTGTGCCGTATGGTATGATCAATAATTCCTCTGAGGAAACCTCTCTCTGGCCTATCTTTCAAGTAGTACAAGTTCGGCTCGTCTGCTTTGATGTCCACTTTATCTATGTTGTAAGTTTTGACTGACCATGTCGGATCCGTGGCTCGTTTCCGAGTGTCCCCTTCGTGTTCCCCCGGCTGGTAGAGGTACCTCACGAGGGCCCTATCGGGGATCTGTTTCTCCTTCCCACGCGATGGTGCAGCCGGTTCGGCTATCACTAATTTCAGTTTGATAGCGTCGGCCGGTTTCTTGCCGGTGAGACGGGTGGTTTCGTGGTTCATAGCCGACACCACCTGAGGTAGCCGCGTCGATCGTTTTTCTGGGTCTACCATCTCTCTCGCATACTGGTGTCCGAATAAGCGTTCGGCCAAAGTCCGATTGAATCTCTCTACTATGGCTTGACTGCAATGAGCCCTGGCCGCGCCACGTCTGACTTGGACGTCGTGCTTGGCTAGCAGTTGTGACACGGCACCCATGAACTCCCGCCCAGGGTCGACTTGCAGCTCTCAGGCCCATGTTAGCGTACTGCGTTTGTATATGCAATCGAATCCGCGGGCTACTTGGGCCGCATCTTTCGCGGTTAAGGGCTCGGCTTCCTTGTAGCGGCTGGCAACGTCAACAACGGTTAGAGCATACTTGTACCTCCTGTCCTGGGGTAGGAACAGGAGGTCGGCCTGGACGCTATTGGGTACGGCAATGCCGAACTTTCTTCGAGGCATGTAGCGTGGTGCCGGTAAATAGATCTGCCACAGGGCTTGTTTTTCAAGCCACGCTTTGGCCTCGTCTGGGGGTACTCTCGCCATTTTGGCAAGCTTGTGTATGGCGCTAGCTCCTTTCCAGTACCCACGCTGGTTGTAGTAAATAGCCTCAAACTTTCTTTGGTTCCGTGACATCGTATATATTCACCTATGTTCTTGGTTCAATTTTCTCATGCCTGTACGCGTACGTGTTTATCCCGTCAATGGCTATCCAACGCTTCGTGTCCATCAGTGATAGGGACGTCTTGTTTATCGTCAGTCCGTATATCTTGTGTCCATCGCTTCTCAGCGTTTTCATCTGATGCCTGAAGGTACGGGTCTTGTACAGGGCTTCCTTGAATCTGGCGTGCTTGATTTGTTGTTTCACCACGTACTTCTTGACACCCTTCGCCTTTCGGATCTCACCATTGTCGGCCTTCAGGATAGAGTACACATTAGGCCTCAAGCCTATGTACTCGGCGATCGGAGTGCCGGCACACTCGTCCTTCATCTTACCGAGGACCTTTTTGTTAACCGTGCTGTGCATGGCATGGCCCTTGGGGTAGTCACTGGTGTCGTATAAATGGATGTGTTTTGCCATGTCCTCGTACACGTCTTCGGTTCGAATCTCGAAGACACTGGTGGCCAGCTTTCGCAGGTCTGTGTTCATTCTGATGTAGGGCTCCATCCAGGGGCTTTGGTTGAACTTATGCACCCTATGAATTTTAGTCAGCCTCATACCCAGTGACAGGTACAGCTGCAGGTTGCGATAGTGAACGATGTTTTGGTCATCAAGTTGGGTACGACTTTTTCAACGTTGGCCACCCTTCCACTCAGCAGGTTCCGTTGGTAGTCAGACATCCAGTCTGGGTCTACCATCAAACGTTCTGGAGCCAGGGGGCAACTGTTGTGTGACTTGTGTAATGCTGCTCGATACTCGGTATGCTCATGACGTCTACCTCAGGCACCCACTCGAATCCCCCGGTAGGTAGATACTGGCTCATGGCCCAGCCGTACAGGTTGTTGGCATCGAGGGAGAGGATGTGGGTGGTGGGCTTGCTAGAGTCGTAGCCCACGTACACATTGTTGGCTTTCACGTAGCGTTTTGCAGCCATGGAGATCCCGCCTCGCAATCCTTTCTCGATGAACATGTGCATGTCGTAATTGGTGAGCAATTCCAGCTTAACTCCGGTTTTCTTCAGCAAGGCATCCCAAGAGAGACCCGGGCTGGTGTAGTACGCTGCGGGGTCGAGTTGATACTGCTTGAAACACGTCCTCCAAAACGTCTCGAACACGTCGGCCAGCAGGAGCACGTCCGATCTCAAGTACAGGTCGTGGTAATCGCCCAGATTCTTGCAGTCCAGTTTATTCCATACGTTAATCGTGTGCGAGTAATCGTCTTGGGTGATTGTGGAGTCGGTCAGGTTGCTGTGAAAACGGTCGATGGGGGGGTAGTCGGGTCTCGGCGAACTTGGCCCAGCCATCAATGTACTCATAGGGGTAAACACCCTTCCTTATCAGCAGGGGCCGAGTCTCGGCGTCGGTGTATCGATCAGTGATGGGGAAGGTATCGTTGGCCTTGACCAAACTGTCAAGAGACGACAGCAGGAACTGAACTGAATCGATGAACCTCAGGCCGTTCAGGGAGAAGAAGATCTCCATGTTGTTGGGGATGCACATCATGTTGCCGTCGACCCTCGCGATGGCCTGCATTATCAAGTGACAGTCGTACCCTCTCAAGTTGTGGAAGACCACGGGGATGTTGATCGTTTTGGGGTTGATTCAGAGCTTGAGGTTGCACGCGCTGTGAGCGGTGCCTCTGTACTCATCGGTGACATGGCAGTGATCTCTAACCAAATCGCCGTTCAGCGGGCCATCGCACACATGGCAGTGAGTGCTGCAGCCGTGGGCTCGCCGGTCGGCTTTGGTCATACGCATGGGAACGACATTGTACAATTTCTTCCTGATGGCTTTCTCTTCCCATTGCAAGCACTTTAGAAATTTTTCAGCCCCTGTACACTACGGGAGCTTCCGTTTCCCCATCACATCGGACGACCACGTATCCGAACCCACAGGCCTCGTGCTCCTGCGTTTTGTTGGGGGTCGGCCCGATGTCAACGCTTTTGATCAAGGCTTCGAAGTCGGCGTAGATGACATAAGGCACCGGCATCTGTTTCTTGTGGTTGTCGAATTTTAGTACATTGTCGCCTTCCTTGGGCATGTCGATTCATATGGCCGTCTGCCCCACGCATAGGCAATCCTCCCGTCGGGATTCTAATAAACCTGGGGCGGTGGGGTAGCCTAGTGGTTAAAGTGTTGGCTCGTCACGCCGAAGACTGGGGTTCGATTCCCCACATGGGCACAATGTGTTAAGCCCATTTCTGGTGTCCCCCGCCCTGATATTGCTGGAATATTGCTAAAAGCGGTGAAAACTAAACTCAGTCAGTCAGTCTAATAAACCAGCTCGCGTGAAGCCGTGTTGGCATCGTTCACAAAAGTGTTTTTTCCCGTCGTATTTCGATTGGTTGTGCAACAGCCTGCTGAAGTGTTTTATCCATGCGTAGTGATACTTATCACCTCGCTGGATCATGAATATTTTGATCACGCGGCGACCCTCCATTGGGCTGATCCTGTGCACGATCGTTTTGTTGCCTTCGTGCCCTAAGACGTTGACGGCTATATCATTCTGTTTCTCGATTTTGGTGACCTGGGATATTGGGGTGGGTTCGTCTATACCAGCCCAGTTGAGCCCATCATCTTGGGGATAGCTAGAATTAATGTTCGAATTAATGTTGGCTGGAAGAAGGCTGACCTGATCGCTAACCTCATGCAATCGTCAACTCTGTTTTTGATGTTGACCATGGCCTGTTTTTTCTTGTAGTAGGGGGGTAAGTCTAGGTACGACCTCCCCCTGAATGGTACGTAGTTAGCTATGTCTAGATAGATCTTATCGATTTTGTCCACGGCCCACCCAGACCCCCTGTGCGTGTAGCGTTCCAGGTATTCTCGTATATGCTGAAAACTGACATCGATGGACTCGTCTATAGTCTCGGCATGAGTCACAACTTCTTGTTTACCCCGGAAGTAAGGCTGAACGTACTCAATGGCACCATTCTGCTGTTTATCGAGCGACATTTTCACTGTGATTTGAAACTTTAGACTTCCCAAATCGTTAAGTTCCTCATTAACTTTGTCATGGATCAGCGGCTTGACGTCGCCGATGTCTATGTTCTTATCCACATGCATGTGCCAGCCTCTCAGATAGTTACCTACAGTGCGTTCAGTACGCACAAACTCTAGATCAACGACTCTGTGCTGATGCAACAGTTTGACGAGCTCGGGCTTCCTCATATGGGAATAACCTACTAACCCCAGCTCTCGGGCTTCCCGTTTGAGTTGTTTCACAGTGTGGGGAGGTTGCACGGGGTCGTGCAACAGTGAGACTAGCCCGGCTTTCCTCATACGGGAATAACCAGTCAACCCCAGCTCTCTGGCTTGGCGTTTGAGTTGTTTCACCATGGGAGGGGGTTGTATGTTGAGTAATCTAAACAGCTGGGGTCTCTTCATTCGGGAGTAACCCACTACACCTCGTTCTCTCGCAATCTGATTGAGCTCTCGGACAGTAGGCATTGTTATACCCAGGTGTATACAATCTCTAATTGGGCCGCCAACAAGGGAGGTAACTTCTCCAACCTTAATGGAACTTTGCTGTGAACAGATGGAGGGCTGGCGCCAGTAGGTCCACTTTAGCGCCATAATCAGCTATACTTAGGTAGACCGTTTTGGTCACATACCCCTGGGGTATTCGTATTGTCTTGAGGTTCTTATC